AGGACACATCCTGCTCGGCCCTGAAGGGCAAGGCCTGCTCTTAAAGAAGAATGTACCGAAGCTGGAAGCTCACGCTGTTACAAACTAAACAAAAACCGGATCGAAAAAAAGTACACCTTAAGGTGATGCATAATTTGATATTAAGAGAAACAGATGCATCGCGATTTACCGTGTATCCCCCTTAAAGTGACAAAACTTCTCCATAGAGCTTACACATCATAAATGATGGATGATAACTCTGTCCAAAACAGTCATCCTATATACCAGCCACAAAAAATATTAAGCTTAAAAGATTTCATGCAAATTTACACGTTTTATATCATTTGTATCTCAATAAAGCTGAAAAGAGATTTCATTCAAAAGAGTATAAAAAAATCAATGATTCCTATTAAATACACATACCCAGTATTCGTGTAAACACACACAGAAAGGAATTACATCGCCGTGTTAACAGATTGTATTTTCTCTAATACACCGTTTTAAAAAACATACTACTTTAAAATAATATAAATATTTAAATGTACAAGTATACACATTTTTTCAACAAAGAATGAGAGGAAACACCTCAAAATGGTAAGAGCAGATGTTACTATACTGAAATTATAGAGAAATATTGTTCTCATTTTTTTTGAATTTTTCAGCCTTCTCAACTAACTACATGTCATCGCCCATGTTTTGTTTACTCCCTTGTTCTGGTCCACGTTGCCTTTGGGATAAAAAGCTCCCCCCACCGGGCCGCCAGACTGGCTCCAAGCTACTGAGAGCTGGTCCTCCCTGCAGTCTGTCTCCACCCTGCTCTCCCTCTTCTGGAGGGCGCTTCGGGTGCTGTCTACACCCACACACCTGCCTCGCCTCCATCCCACACTGTCTCTGCTGAGCCAATGCGTTCGAACCTCCAGATCTGGTGCAAATCTCCCGACTTTATGGCACTGAGAACTTCAGAAAAAAATGATCTGTCCCTTCTAAAGGGACACAGCACTGGCTGAGCATTTGGCCCCCACCATTTGGGACCACCTGCTGAAAGACTGACGTGAGAAAATATCAGATGTACGGAGGTTCACAACTGAACGATGCGGCCCTCAAACACAAAGAATGGGTTTTGGAGATTTTTCGCATCATCTACAGCATACGGCCCTGTACCTTGCATACAATAGTTCTTTGATAAGTATTTTTCATAATAGAATCTCCATACCACCAAATTTCCAAGGCTTCATCATTAGCCTCACTGACTGTGAGAATTATTTAGTTTAACAAAATTCCGGGATAATTAAAAGAACAAACTGACCACTGGGACATCTTTGTAATAGAATCTGACTCATAACGCTAGTCAATTTGGGGCTCTTCCTCTAATTTTAAAACCAGCAAAGATTCCTCCATTCATCTCTCTGTGGCATCGAGCATTTCGCACTTCTGAGATGCAAATCACAGGAGTTTAACTTCTAAATTCATACTTTCTTCAAACCTTGTTTACAAATTTGGTTTCTGCGCTGTGTTTCATAATTTAGCTCAATGCTCAACTGAATCTTGCAGGAAAAAATGATTTACGAGTTAACTGACTTTACAGCCAATAAAGAGGAAAATTAGTATGCCATTTCAACAAAGGGAGAGTTCAAGATACAGTAATCGAAAACGAAATGTTTGACTTCCCTAATGAAAAATGGATAAGGTCCTGAGTTTTGTGAGCCAGCTCAGTCATGACAAAGACTCTCCAGCTACTTCAGATCTTATTCAATGTATCAGATGCCACCCTGCTAAAAGCTTCAATTTGATAACTTTGAAAAAGTTCAAGATTGCAGAAATTTGTGTCAGGGCAACTGTCCTCAATTTTTCAGTTAATAAAAGGAAACAATTTTATCATTGAAAAGAGAACACAACCATGAAAATAGTTTTGAGAAAAGCTAGAAGTCCTTTATTGCCTCCGAAGTAATTATTTCCAGCCTTGCCCACGTCATATTGTTTTTACTGGGAAAGGAAACTAGCAATTATTGAGTGTCCACTACAGCAGGCGTCAGCAAACTGGGGCCCCTGGGCCAAGCCCAGCCTGTAGTCTGTTTTCATACAACCTGTGAGCTAAGAATAGTTTTTACATTTTTAAGTGGTTGAAAAACAAAAGAAGAACAATATATTGTGACGTTTGAAAAGTATAGGAGATTCATATTTCATTGCTCATAAATTAAGTTTTACTGGAACACAGCGACACCCTTTCATTTACATATGATATATGGATGCTTTCATGCCAAAATGGCGGAGTTGAGCCATCTGTCTCTACCCAGTGGTCTGCAAAGCCTAAAAAATTTGACACCTGGCTTGTTTTGGAAAAAGTCTGCTAAGCAGTTTCTAAATAGCAGCAAATATTATTCTTAATTGACGAATGAGGATCCTAAAGATGCAAAGAGTTTGTTACTTTTAAAAAGGATAAATTGAGTAAATCATGGCACTGAAATTCAAATGAGTCCACCTGATTCCAAAGGTGGAACCCCAAAGCTCCGAGCAGGCTGGACCATGCCTTTTAGAATCGGTACTATGTCATCTTCATCTTCCATGGTAGTATTACACTGCGCTGATGTGTCAAATTTATGAAACCATTCCTTCACTGGCAGAACTTGTCTCTGAATTCTTGCATTTATAAATAAAACCAAAAATAAAACTGTAAAGATGTTCAGGGCTTGCTTAAAAAGTAGTGAGATTAAAAAAGAATGACCCAAGCTTTGAATATGGTTAAAGCCTCCAGCTTTTTCTGGGCTTTGCAGGTAACTCTAAGTAGATCAGTTACCTGGAACTTCCTCGTCTTAGAAGTTACAGACAATAACATCCTATGGGAGGGAAAAGACAAGAGAAAGTCTGGGAGGGCTGCCCAGGGCTTCTCCTGTGTCCGAGGAGGAGAATATTCTGAGCCCAGAGAGTGAGAGTGGCCCATGACTTCCCATCGCATTCAAACACTACATGGCCTTTGGCCTACCTAAGTGACGCTAAAGATGGGAGAGTCCTCCCCCATCACTCTGGGTCCCCTCATCGCTCACCCTCCCGGGTAAACGAAGTCTGCTCACAGGCTCAGGTCATCGCTTATGTTTGTACTAAATCTCGTTACCCTCACTTCGACAGTTTCCCAATACAAAGCCATTCCATTAGATCTAAGGAAAGAAATGGATAGTTAGAAAAATTACCAACAGCTATGACTGGCCATTTGAAAAATCCAAAGGCATACCTGAGACGATAGGCCAAGTTTTACACTTCTCTTTCGACCAGTTTGGTGAAAGAATGAAACCACTTCTCTCCTTATTATAATACAAGCCACGGTGATTACAGAGACGTGTCAGAAACGGTGCCAGAATAACCTACGTGTCTGGCCACGTCCAAGGTGAGTCCCAAAGCTAGAGGTCTATAAAAGGGGACCATGTGTCAGATTCTCCCGAGACGGCCGGGGTGGACACTTGTTTCCTACTATAATTATTCATAGAGCCCCTTCCAAACTCAAGCGTCCTGGCTTGGATGATAAATGATATATAATAATGACACTATCTCAAAGCTTGAACCGTCCTTCAAATATCCACTTAAGGTCCCCCAGAGTGGGCTGAATGGCGGCCCCCAAAGGCATCAGGTCTAAATCCTTAGAATCTGGGTAACTGTTACCTTATTTGGAAAGAGAGTCTTTGCAGATGTGACTAAGGATTCTGATAGGGAGACGCTGCCACCTGCTCCCTCACAGAGGGAGATTTGACAGAGAGGAGAAAGCCAAGTGAAGATAAAAGCAGAGGTTGGAGGGATGTGGCCTCAAGCCAAGGGACACAGCAGCTACCAGAAGCTGGGACAGGCCAGGAAGGACCCTCCCCTAGAGCCTCTGGACCAGCGTGGCCTACCGCACCTTGAGTTCCCACTTCTGGCCTTGGAAGTGGCAGAGAATCTCTCTCTTGTTTTAAGCCACCCAGTCTGTGGCCATTTAGTATGGCAGCCATAGGCAACTGACACAGCCTCCCACTATTCCGTCTTTCCTACCGGTTTCTCTGATAAGCCACTCAACTCGTGAACTCAGGATTCCCTCGGCTGCTGTGTGTGCAGCCTCAACTGTTACCACATCCTTGCTTCTGTGCTGCTGCTGCTGAAAATCTTATTTCTTTCAGCTGCAGCTAAATTCAGAAAGTCGTGGAATCTTCTGACCGAGTTAAAAAAGAAAAGCAGCTACCACGTTGTTCCCAAGAGACACACAGCACGGAGGACACGAATGGCCCCAAATGGCAAACGAACCTGTCTACACGTCTGTCAATGGGAAAAGGGGTAAAGCTCCCGTCAGACCAGCCCCACGTTAGGGCGGCCCTACCAAACGAACACGATCCCCGTTAAAGCGCCCCTCAAACTCCAACTTCCCTGGTTTTTCCTGAAGGCAAAGACCACATCTTCCTCAATTTCTTCTAAAAACTCACAGAGCTTCTCTAGCGCTAGTGTTGCTAAAAAGAATAATTCCACAATATTAGCTTCATTCTCCCTGAAAGGTTAAAAAGAGATAATGGTCTGTTTGGAAAATTGAACTTTTCATTTTGAGACAACTGCAGATGCCGAGATCCCTTGTGTCCTTTACCAAGTTTCCGCTCATGGTAACGTTTTGCCAAACTGGCACTATCTCACAGCCGGGATACTGGCATTGAGATAGCCCAGCGATCCGATTCCAACTCCCCCAGTTCTGGGTGCTGAGCGGCTGGGTGTGCGGGTGGCTATTTAGTCCTGTCCACCACCACAGACACACGACAATTTCACAAGGGCTACTGTGGTATTTCAATACCTGCAAAAGTATGCTGAATGTTTCTGTATCCGTAAGTATGAACACGATGGCTGCTTCAAAGACAAACCTTTGAAAAAGCCAAGGTGAGAAAACATAGTTCCTCCATCACTAAAATAGAAGGCAAACATTTTCCAGATATTGAGGTAAAATGTGAGGGGAAAAGAAATGTAGACGTTAACCCACAGGAGGTTCCTTCAAGAGGACACAGCTCTCGTACCTTGTCTTTTTTGTCTTGTCGGGCGTATGGAAAACACGGGATCACTGCGGTCACCCTGGACGACGACGCGATCTTGCAGGCGTTGATCATAATGAGAAGCTCCATCAGGTTGTCATTGATCTCGCCACAGCCGCTCTGGATGATATAGACATCTTCCCCTCTCACGCTTTCGCCGATCTCAACGCTAGAAAAAGAGAAACGTCATCCACTCATGGGAAAGCATATTTGTGTCATGGGGGTCCCCAAGAGCACCCCCAGGGTGGATGATTTGCCAGGACTCGGCACACGGTTGTGCTCATGACTATGACTTATTATGGTGAAAGAATACAGAGCGAAGGGAAAAGCCACACAGGGTGAAATCCAGGGAAACAGACACGAGCGTCCGCAAGTCGACCCCAGTCGAGTCATAGGTTGAGCTTAATTCCCCCCCGTGACGAGCTGTGACAACACACGTGAAGTGCTTGCTGTCTACCAAGGAAGCGCATTAGAGACTCAATGCCCAGGGGGATTTATTGGGGGGTTGGTGGCGTAGGCACCCTCTGCCTGGCACGTACCAAAATTCCAGACGCCCAGGTATTCAGCATTAACTGCACTGTTCGTACAGTTTAGCCGTGAGCCATTTCTATCAGAGAACGGAGGGACCCTTGCAAAAGCTAAGTTCCCAGAGGCCAGCCGAGGGCCACCTTGCAACCAGGACTTTTTCACATGTGACGCGATCTTGTACGTTCTTTAGAAATTTGTCTCAGTCTTGCTATGTTAACTCTTTTCTGCTAAATATGTTTGGTTTTTCATTTTGATTCAAGTTACATGTACACGGTAATCGAAAAATTCAAATCATTCTGTAAGGCTTATGACAGACGGCCCAGAGGCAACCAATTTCGATTCTTGATAGTTTTTTGATATAGATCTTCGAGTCTCTAGCTAATGTGTTTGTATTTGCTTCATCTTGATTTCTCATTTCCAGGCATCATGTGTTGACTCCTCACTATGAAGACGAGGATTTAACTATTTCCTTCCCGTCCCATTCACCTACACCGCCTGCAGCCTCCCCACCTCATCCGGCCATCGGCCATCGTCCCAATACAGATCATGACTCAACCAAATGAGCTGCATTTTAACTATGTAAATGCTGTTCAGGGCTGAGCCCACAGTGAACTTAAAGCCAAGTTTATAGTATTTCCCTTTAAGCAGAACTTTTTGGGGGGGTGGGGGGGTGGAAGGTGTTTTCCTGGAGAAAGTTATCCTACCTTTTGATGTGTTCAGTTTTTCAGTACTGAATACAAATTCCGGCCTAAACGCTGAGCTAACGATCTCAATCCCACGAGGTCAGGGACCTGAAGTGCAGACTCCACTCCATCCTCCTGCACGGGTCTGACCGAGGCCCTTTCTGCCCTGCCCAGCTGGCCCCGGGGGTTTCCATCACCCCTCTCCCACACTCCATTTCCCACTTTCTGTACCCTTTCTTGGTGTACTTTCATGTTTTGCTGACTGTCATCCTCCAGTAGCTTAAAAAAAAAGAGTAAACAAGAGCTTCAGAAGTCTCTGCTAACTGCACATTGAAAAATTTCTACATTTGGGGTATAGAATTTTGAGTGTTGAACCTGTGAGTGAGCCTGCCCATCGCTGGCAGGTGTCTTCCAGGGCAAGGAAAGCAAAACAGTGCCCTGTGCCCAGGCAGGTCCTCCACAGAGCACCGCCCGAGAACCAAGGACACCCACCATCAGCTCTGCTATAATGCTTGTTTGGAAAAGGGAAATTTGCTCCAATGATCGTTAGAAATGATTTGAGCCTAACAGGAATTTTGCACCTGCTTTCCCATGAACTCTCCTCCTGACATGAGAATACAGAGGACTGCACTGCACCCAGCTAAAGGGAGCCCCGAAAAAATACCGCAAACGCATACACCGTCACAAGGACAACCGCACCCATCCACGGCTTGTGTCACAACTTTCGGCACCGTTTCAGATGGCCCTCCTTCTACCTCCTCACGAGAATGCAAGAGCTGCAACCCTTCTGAGACCCGCGTCGACGAGAAAGCTGCAGGTCTTTCTCGGTGGGAAGCACCATATTTATCGTAGCATTTACGTCTTTTTCTAAACATGTAATACGTGCACAAGTGTTTTACCATTTTTATCACATTTCCATCTTTTTTCGAATATGTCACCGAGGGAGATTTTGAGTGCCGTGCCCCTAACTGCATTTTTCCCATAAGCCCTGCCGTATGATTTTGCATAGCGTGGTGACTTTTAGGAATGCGTCTATGACCTTACAGAACCGACTGCAAATGAAAGGCACATCCAAAAAAGAAAGCCATTGAATCTTATTTTTAAAATTACAAATGAGGCACATAATTACCTCAATCCTTTCTTCTGCTATCAGAAGCCAATTATACCCAATGGCATTGTTTTATTAAAAGAACATATTATTTCTAAAGAAAATTTAAACAAGTGACATTTGGGATACCATATAGTAGCTTATCTGAGTCAACAGAAACTTCTATCCAAGTAGAATAATTAGAAGACAAAATAAAGTGTCTCAAGTTGATACGATCTGAAAACGAGTTTTGGTAATAGTGGGTCATATTCTTGCATGTGCTCAGCTGTGGATGAAAACAGTACAATGCCAAACTGGGGGTGAGAGGGACACACAGAATTCTACGTATTCCTTCCTATCTCGAGTACGAAGGAGCTAAAATGTAATTTCTTTGTGAACATTACATCAACTGCGGGATGAAGTCAATTTGGAAATCACAGTACTAAATAGCTCGAGGGTTGACAATCTAAGCCCATGAGCTGAGAATGATGTGGTAGGCAGAATGGCCTCCCGAAGACGTCTATGCCCTAATGTCTCGAACCTTTGAATGTTAGTTTACGTGGCAAAGAGGAAGCAAGGTGGCAGATGGAATTAAGTTATTTATCAGCTGACCTTAAAGGCGATTATCCTGGATTGTTCTAGTTGACCAATATAATCACGAGGCTCCTTAAAAATGGAAGGAGACAGAAGAGGCCAGAGAGATGCTATGTTGCTGGCTTTGAAAATGGAAGGAGGGGCTGAGAGCCAAGGCATGTGGGTGCCCGCTAAAAGGTGGGAAAGGACAAGATTTTTCCCCCAGAGCCTCCACAAAGAAACGCATTGACCCATGATGGACTTCAGAGATGGGGGCCTGCAAAACCTAAAACATTCACTATCTGGCAACTTCTAGTGTGATGGCTTTTTATACCAAAATTTCAGCCTCTTTGCAGCCTATTTTTCCTTAGGAACCTCAATCCCCATATGACTAGCAGTCCAGGGCAGGACAGAAAATACCATTACCATGGCGACTTTCCCCCCAAAGCTATTCCTGCTTTTACTCATAAAGACGATCATGAGTGATCTTTATTCTAGGACTTTTGAAAACTGGGGCCAGAGACAGCATCCATTTGCTGTTCAGATAAAGGATCTTTACTGATCTCGAAATAAGGCTGATGTGTTTATCTGAGTCAATGATGAATGGACGTGGTAACTTAAAGATGGCCACAGACTCTAACACTTTTCCCATCAAGAAGATTCTCTTTTGGACCTGGGAGGACTCCGTGCTTGACAATAGAACGTGACAGAAGTGATGATGTGCCAACTTCGGGGCCCAAGCCTTAATAAACTGGTAGCTCCCAATTCCTGTCCTTTGGACTGTTGGAGCTTGGCACCCAGCTCCCATGCTGTGAGGAGGAAGCTCAAGCAGCCCCATGGAGAGCTACTGAGCTAACTGAGCTCCCAGGCCAAAGCTGATAGCAACTCGCCAGCCCCGTGAGTAAGCCATCTTAAGAGTGGATCCTCCAGCCCCAGTTAATTCCCCCAGGTGCCACCACAGGGGGCAGA